TTTTAAAGCAAACTTCAGCTTAGTTCGGTTGTTGTTGAACAAGCACACAAATTCGTGCTGTCACTTGACCAAGCCTTAAATTACCGCACATAGAATACCAATCAAAACAGAATTGTACGATTACCTCTTCCGCGCAGAAAACTGAACCTGTTGGTCACTAACCCTAGCCCTTATTGACATCATCAAGTATTTTAAAAGGGAATGGAACCTAACGTTCAGTTCGTTTTTGTGAGTCATTTCACTACAACTAATGCATTTGCAAAACCATTGCAATTGGATTCGCAGCCTAGTAACGTTTTATCTGAATGTACAGTCGGGGACAAAAGTCCCCAGGACGTGCGAGCTGTGGCTGAAGCGCATTGCTCTGCCATCTGCCGGCGGGTCGCCTGGTTTCGAGATCACACAAAAGCGCATGCGCGTCCTACTCTGCCTGCAAAAATGTGTTTTTTCCCGCTCTTCTGCGGCACAGCACCTAACTAGGAATAGGACAGGTGGTACCGCCTCGGAGATAGCGCTGGCGGCTGACAAGCGTCTGCTACACATTCCAAAACTGAAGATACCGCCTGGGGCATTGCGCCGCATTTCGCCGTGTCAGCACACCTTGCTTTATAACCAGTTCAGCTTATCGCTCAGTTGAGCTGCCGTGACTTCTTGCTGTATAGGTGCCATGTCAGTAATCGCTATCTCCGAGGTGGTAAAACGCGCCCGATTCCGAGTTGGGCGCCGCGTCGCAGAAGAGCGGGAAAGCGCACATGTTGGCAGGCACATTACGCGCATGCGCTTTTCTCTGATCTCGAAACCAGGCGACCCGCCGGCAGATGGCAGAGCAATGCGTTTCAGTCGCAGTTCGCGTGTCCTGGAGACTTTTGTCCCCGACTGTACATCAATAATAGACATTTTGAAGGATTTTTATATTTCTTTGATCTCGGGTGTATTTATTGTGTGTGTGCGTGTGTGTGTGTATTGGGGGGGGGGGGGGGGCGGGGGTAGTAGAGATGTTAGGTTGTTTAGGTTGTTTTGGTGCCGGACCTCGATGGACACCTTAGAGTGTGTCTACCGTCGGGGACCGAGGCGTGATCGTGGAAGGTGGGTCAGGATGCTGGGTGGGACTGAAGACTGCCTTCTTGCTTCTTTTTGTGGTGGCCGATGGTGGAGAGTCAGTAGACTTGGAGACGAAGTTGTAATAAATTTAAGTTATAAAAATAATCTTTACTTCAACAAAAAAAAAAAAACTGTTACACAAAGGGAAATGACACCGCAACTAACTGCCGCTCACGGGTTGCATATAGTTCAGCAGTTACAAAAACGAAAGCCTCGACGTCAATTGTTTTCCCGCGCATGTGCGCATGTTGAGGACGGCGGCTAAGCCGCAGAGCAGGGGCTGTCGCGCACAACGGGAGTAAGGCGGCGAACCACGGGTGAGAACTGCTGGGTCACTCGGGCCCGTCCAAATTCGACAATTTTGCGTCCGGTCGGGGTTTATTAGAGTGCGCCGCAATCTGTTTCATCCAATCGGGGTCTATTGAGAATCCCGTTGGGTACAGGCCCCGACGCATTCCATCAACCAATCGGACGGGCAAACCCACCCTCGCCAGGAGGCCAAATGGTCAGGTCGCAAGGACAGGTCCCACGGCTAGAACCCAAACATTGAGACACGAGCCCTGGTTTGTTTATGGTCAGAGAAAATTAATTGGTTCTTACGCTTCCAGCGAAAATCGCCAGGACGTGCCTCAGGGGGAAACCGTCCCGCAGAGTGTAAGCATTGGGTACGTTAAAATCAATAGATAAACGGAGAACTTGGCAGGCACAACACATAGAGGTTTCGCGAACACAAGCTCAGCGAAAGGTGACACTGGATTCTAAGAATACGGGGATCACCTAGGAGGGGGCACGGGGTGTGTGTGTGTGTAAGGGGGGGGGGGGGGGGGGGGGCGGGGCTTATTCGATGCTGCATCGACGCATGTGCGTAAACCTCTGTCGCGCACGGACCCCCGCAGCCAGCCCCCACAACCGCTGCCACTTGATCCATGGTCTCCCCCGGTGTGGCCTCCGCCCAAACCTCGCGTCCACGGCACTTCGTCTTGTTTACCAGAAAGCCTGCCCGTTGACAAGTGCGCTTAGGAGTTATGCTGGCTGTGTAGGTTTGTATGTCCGGACGCATCGGCCCTTGAGTTAGGAGGAAGACTTGTGGGGGCAATGACCCGCCGTGGAAGAGACACAACCTCGCCGTTTCTACAAAATATATAGGTCCAACACTTACCCTAACATGTAAACAAATTCTTTAAGCAAAATGTCGTCTCGGCGTGGCGCAAGAATGCGACCATCTCTACAAAGGGGAAGGGGGGGTTCCAGACAAAAAACTCGCCATTTTTCGTTATTTACGTCGAAGAATCGAGGATACGGGCTTAGGGTACCCTGACTTTCAATGAATATGATCGTTACTTGAATACTTAAAAGATGGCCCCGGTACTAAAAAAGTATGTGGTTTCCGAAAAAAAAAAAAGAGGGCAGCATTGCGAAAAGTTTAGTGTGTTCCGAGTCAACACACAAAAAATAAAAAAAGCTATATGTAATAGACAACACGCCGTTAAGGTTCTCTTATTCGGCGACAGCCCCAAATGAAGGTTTTTTTCGATTTTTTTTTTCCGATTTTGACAAAATCACTTTGATCGGTAACATTTAGGGCTGGGTACCTAATGGATTAGCGTACCGATTAATCAATTAACACTTTAATCTTAAATCATGGTTTTAAGCGGTTAATCGGTTAAATTTGTACAAACATAAAAATTAAAACGCTTTGAACACGCAGACGTGGACGAGTACACCTGAACGAATGCAAAATTTAGGAGAAGTTTTGACTAAAGTCAACTGTAGAGTCAACTCCAGATAAGTGGAGAACGTTGGACCTGGCCCCGCCACTTCAACACCGTGCGAGTGTACGTAAAGCGCAGCACCAACTATTGCGAACAATCAAAGGAGTTCCCTGTTGCCGGAGATCATCAACAAACCTCTATGGCTTTACGGCTGCAGTAATAATTTGTGCCTGGATGTCTCGAATGTTCTCAACTACAGATAAAGGTCGATTAAAAATCCGAAATTGTGCATTGCACCGCTATTACATATCCACCAAAGACAAAAAAAAAAGTAGTTTAAATTTCTTTTTAAACTATTAAGCCGGGGAATGATCAAGACCGATTAATCGATTAATTTATCGATTAAAACGTGACGACTAATCGGGTTAAACTTTGTACACGACGCCCTACTTCGGGGTTTGTCGCTATAAAAGAAAAACGAAACATGTTTAATGGTAACTTAGCAGTCAGCTCTTGTAACCTTTATTACTTTCTAGAAGTACCTTTAACAGCTTCGGAAGAAACGCGAGAGCACCTTCCGCGTTAACATGAAACCGACTATTATAGCTGATGGTTCTTTATCGCTTTCGACGCCTCTGATGCGTTTGGAATTTTCCTTATTCTCGTCGCTACAGGGAAGGAATCGTATTTCAATTCTGACAGGCGAGTAAAGGTTGTAATTGGAGGGACTACAGCAAAACACTGACGTCAGCCAGAATTCCTCAGAGAAGTATACCGTTTATCTAGGTTTTAATACGCATGCGATGTCGTGCAAGTGAGACGCCAGTTGCAGTCACTCGCTCGCTGCAGTTGATTTAACGACGTGGTAGATTATTACGTCTGACACAGAGTAGAGAAGTGGTTCTTAGCGCCGAGATGTCGCGGTGGCGTCCTCTTACGGTTTCCTTCCCTGACGTCATGACCAAGATTTTCCTGGCTGTGATTGGCAGGATTTGCCTCGCCGTGAACCCGCGATTGGGCAGGCATTAGTCAGTCAAAAATAACCACTCATTCACATTGGAAGCGGATCCGCGTTCGCAAAGCGGTTTCGAACGCGGTTGTATAAAGATCCAGTACAATTGCACGCGCACTCGATGTGTGAATGAGCGGTAAGATCTGCTCTGGCCAATCGCGAATGCCGACCACAGCGACGCTTTTGATCGCGCACGTCGCTAATAGCTATTGAACACAGTGAGATGGGTCCCGACCATCTTGTTATCGCCCGACAGCCAGTCAGATCGCGGCATCACACGATACGAAGGTCGAGCAAGAAATCACGAGGCGAGGGGCGTGGTCGTAATAGGTCACGCCCCGCGTTTTCTAATCTCGCAGTGACTAGAGAAGCGATATGTATGTGCCGTATTCCCACTATATATTCCTATAAAACTTCGTAATGACCCTATTCTTTACGAAAAAAATCTATATTACGAAACAAATTTTTGTAAGGCGTAACTGATAAGCTTATTCACCAGCATGAACATAGTCAGAATCGGCTGACGCGTAGTATTGTGGTCAAATGGTTAAGTTCCAAATTTCCCTTACAGGTCCCTGCAACATCGTCGAAAGAACACACACACACACACAAGGTTCCCTTAACTCTTAATATTTTGGTGAATATATACTTTTTTAGGGGAATGGTTTATTTTAGGACAAAATAGAGCTGGCAAGTGCACCTCTCTTTCCGTGACGTCAGCAAATGTTGCGTTCGTACCGAGTTACCTAGTGACTCAATTTGTCTTTGCGAATGTGGAAGACGAGCCTGTCCCGCAGTTCTTGTGCTGCTCTACTGGCCATGCTAGAGCGACATGTCAAAGTTTACCTTCTTTACGATTCGGCAAGAGCCTCTGCAATATACGCTTAGAACACCGGCCCTCCATTCCCCGGCGTATCTAACGGGCGCCGCCATTCCGGTACCTGATGCAGTGCGCACGCGCCATTAGCGATCGTCGCGATTCGAATATTCGACTTTCTGAGCTTCAGGTGCGGTGTCAGAAAGGTAAGGCGATATCGCCTTGCTCTGCTGCGGACAGTTCTATTGTTTCGAGAGAAGCGAAAAGCGTTTCCGCTTTTCGAGACGAAACGAGACGTAGCCAGTTAAAAACAAAATCATGAATTGAAAAAAAAAAATTAAAAAGCATATGCACTCACCCTTGGTTCCCTTCCAAACAGTATGTCGTACTGCACATCACCTGGGTCCGGCGTCAACGCCGACGCGCGGTCGGAAAGAGCAACCACCGCCGTGGCGACAAAAATCAGGGCGACGATCGAAACCGGGTACATTCTGCTAGCTCTTTCGACGATAGCCACAAACTCGTTCGGAAACACACGAAGCGATACGTGCTGCGTTCGCAAAATAAACTGGTCTCCCCGAGTGCGCGTCTGAACATCCGAGACGTCAGACCTTTGCCCACGACCGCCGCAACGGTCGTCTGGTTTTTCTGGTGTGCCTAGGTTTGAGAGTGCACACAACCGCACGATCGAGGTCACGTGGTTTGTGGGTTGCGTGTTTGTAATACGAGGCGCGAGGAGAGAAAGCGAAGGCGTCGATTGTCTCGAAGGTTCTCCAGCATTACTCAGTCTCCACCCGGCGTCCTCCTCGCCAAGCGGCAAGGCTAGCACGTGCACAAACAACCAGTCTGAGCGGAAGGTGTCAGCCATTAAATTGCAAACGCTATCCGTGGTTTGTTTTGCTCATTCTCTTATATCTGCGCTCTCTAGCTTTCTCAAAAAAAAAAAAAAAAATGATGATGATGATGCTAATTATAGTGTAAATTATAGTGAGGGAAAGGAGATGGAAACTACCCCGGACGCCTGCATTCTTAATGAGTAGAGCATTGTATCGCTTCTTTAAGAAACAGCTTTCTTTGAACCAAACAAAAAAAAAAAAAAAAAAAAACGTGACTCTTTTTCAGCGTCCTTCGATATAAAGTTTCATGTTTTTGTTGAGCCAAGGTTGTAAATTGTTTTGTTTTTTTTCTTTTTTTTTTTTGCCTTAGTGTGTTTGAGTTGTGCTATCAGCCGTTTACCTCGATTAAAATTCAAGCAACGTTCTGGGGTGTTTTTTTTTTTTATCTTCCTTCTTTTTTTTCTTTTTTGTTTGTAGGTTAAGAGATGGCATTAATTGTACGTGAGTTCAATGATACGCGTTGCCCATTGGCACGTGTCTTCCCAATTAAGAATTTAACTATCTTACACTTAAAGACCGGTCTCACTATAAACCGTTCACCCTTAAAGTGGCCGTGCAACGATATCCGCTTAGAGTGTTTTTCACTTTGCACGAGCTGACTGGCATTATAGTGGTCCCAAGTCACGGTGGAAGAAATACAAATGTATTTCTTCCGCCGTGGCCCAAGTACACTCACACGCAACGCCATTGACCAAGAAAATACTTTGTTGCCCTATCATTTCAAGGACGAAAGCCAGCATTTTCTTTCAGTCTCTATTTCGCAAAACTTAATGACGTTGGTGGGGGATCGCAGTATCCCCCACCTACGTCATAGATTCGGTCCGAGCGTTGCGTGTTCACTCCATTTGGGCTCGTGATAAACGGTAGCTTGACAAGCATTCGGGTAGTTACCGTGTCCGATTGCGGCAATGACGATAGTAACCGAACCATAACAATGTCTGGGACTCAACGCGTGTCGTGTTTTGCCAACTCCAGCGCGTGGCTATAATCAATATTGGCGGCATATAATCGGCTCCAGATCACGTGGCCATTTGTTCTGGCTGCGAGTTGAGGTGGAGAACGCCGCTCCTTTTTCTTTAATTTTTTTTTGCTACTTATTTTGCAGGTGGTGAAAAACGAACGCGTGTTTCATAGATCATTAACGTCAGGAATTCGTTCTAAGCGGTATTTATGCTAACACAAAAATTGTTGCATCGCCCCTTTACGCTGAGACTGGAAGCACTGCCTTCAGCGCGAGCTCGCTGGCTTCCAGAGTGCTTTGCTGCATCGCGCATGCGTGGAACGCTTAGTGAGATCGGTCTATTCAAGTTTTTTTACGTGCTTCGATCATCTTCGTCCTTTGCTTTGTCTACGAGATTGTATCAACGGCCACTTCCACTGTAGATGTAATAAAGAAAGAAAGCGACCTTTGTTAGGGAGTTAGCCAGTCGTCCGACGTTTGATTGACCGCCAATAAATCAATCATTGTTAGATGAACTCGAGTCATGTGGTAAGCGCTAGAATTCGCTCAAGTTACCGCTCGTGGAACAGGCGCAAGGATAGCGGTGCAAAAAAAAAAAAAACAGATAGTACCTAATCATCCGCGATTTTCCAAAAGCTTTCCTTCTGCCTGTTGCAGGAGCGCTAACGTGAGCGCAGCCCAACACTTCCCCCGTGCCTCAAGTCCATGTAAAATTGATTTATTAATCGGTTTATCGTTGACGCTCCCAAGGTTTTTAATAATAACCATACGTTTATTTTTCCTAACAAAAAAGTGAATCAACAAAATTTAGTTAAAGCGACCATGAAACAACGTTTCTACTTTCGCTAAATACTATTTAGGGGCACTCCCTAACGTTAATAACTGTATGAACTTCACTTAGGTTTTCTTTCTATGTAAAGACAGTCGCCAAAACAAATTCGAAAAATGTGATCATCGTCCATGCCCCCCCTCGGATGCAGAACAACCGGTCACGTGCCCTGGTACCTACCATATGGCGCCAATGTTAATCATACCCACGCGCTGGGGTTGGCAAAGTAGAAAACGCATGCTGCGCTCGAGGCATTGTTAGAGCCCGCGTCTATTCTTATCACCGCAGTGGTTGGACACGGGACAGTACCCGAGCGTCCACGGAAGCATGGATTGTTACGAGACGAAGTCGGGTGCACACACGGTTCTCGTGTTCAATCCATGAGCCGCGGTCGACTGCCGGCAAGCGGGTGGTTTCGATCCCACAATTACATCATTAAGCTCTTGCGAATGGAAGACTGAAAGAAATAGTCTTCTTTTATTTTCGCCAGTTCACCGCGACAAAGAAGCTTCCAAATCAACGGCGGTCTCTGCGAGAATACACACTTGGGCCAGACTATAGGACAGGGGGGGCGGGGGGGAGGGGGGGGGGGGCTATGTTTTGAGAAATATTTCATTTCTCCTAGAAAGAAACGGAAGTGACGATATCGCGTCTAGTTGGCTAGAAGCTCAAACGACGAAAGAGGGAACTTTCGTCATTTGAATCTTTAACCCATCAGATGCGATATCGTCACTTACGTCACTTACGTTTTTTTTTTTTTTTTTTTTTTTTTTTTTTTTTTTTTTTTTTTAGGTTAGACGAAAGGTTTGTTGTCTATGCAAAGTCACGGACATTCCAACCCAATATCGTTTCGCGACCCCTTTAATTATCCGACGTAAGGTGAGGAATAACTCTCAATAACATGTCCCCCTGCTCGTATATTGCTTTAACTCACCTGCACAGATAGCACCGGTGTACAATTTGCAACTTCCAGCGATGGTGGTACCGGTGTGAGAATCGTGCTCTCTAGTTCCTGGTCCTGGGTGATGGACTTCACAATAAAGGTACTTGCCTTCACCTTCCTGATGTAAAAAAAGATATAAAATAAAGTACGGCTCTAATACTCTTCATATGTAGCAAAACTAGAATTACTTACCCATTGCAGACCCAGCCTCGTACCGCTGTTCTACGACGATCATCGAGATGACGACCATTTTGATAGGCGCCAGTGCGCCCCCTATAGATCTTGCAAGTTGCGAATTCCCGGGTTGTCTTAAAATATTTTTTTACGAATTAAAATCAAACATCTTGGATCTTATTACAGCGAAGCTGATTATGGCTAGGGTTCCGTGGATTTTTGGTGTGCGTCAACAAAAAAATCAGAAAGGGCTCGCTTTGTCGTCGTTCCAAGCCGCTTCTCTAACTAGTTTCCTTTGCTTCCGCCAGGTGGCGGTCCCGTCGCACGTGTCTAGTTTCCTCCGGCTCCTCAACATGTGTGTGCGTACCTTTTATCATGATGGCCACCGATCGAGGCAATAAATGTGTTCGAACCTTTGTTCAAAATTCTTTGTCACGTCTGTGTCGTGTGCTAACAGCTTCGCTGGTCATCTACCTTCACAGAGTAGAATGGCTCAATGATTTTGTCTTTTCTTTTTCTTCATATTTGCGTGTAAAGGGGGGGGGGGGGGAGCTCAGCGTCCCTATCACCAACATTTCAAAAACCGTGTTTTCTGTTCTGGTCCATATTCCGTTTCCGCAGCCAACACTACAATCCTATGAAGTCGAACAAGCCGGGCCAAAAGTGCCTCGTCAGAGCGCTCGTCGTCTTTTTGCGTTTCCTATCACCGGCTTAACCGAAATCACGCACGAAGAATGCGCTGTTATACTGCGCTTTTTCTTTTCTTTTTTTTTTTTTTTTTGACGAAGTGTGTATATGAGTTGCCCATAGGGCACGGAGCGGTGTGTAGGATGGCACGCGGAGTCGCAGCTGCAGCCGCGGTTCCAATGCCGCCGAGACTTCGGACCGTCATATCGGACCACCGAAAAAGCGGGCCATCGGCGGGTGTTTTGCCTTTTTCTATTTTTTAGTGAATGCCGATAAGGCCCGCATCTTACACAATGGACCTCTTCTACTCTCTAAGCGTTCCTAGAGCGGCCAAATGTCACGCGAGGAATCTTGGGTACCGGTTACGTGGACACCAAGTCTTGGTTTCGGTTGGTCAACCTCACTTCGTGACATTAGATGACGACCTGCTTGCTATTTTTCTTTTTTTTTAATATTCGACATTTCTTAAATTTGTAATATTGGGGGTGTTGCCTACCAATACAAATGGAATTCTGCGGCGCGTATTATTTTTCTGACTCCTGACGTGCCGGAGTTTGTGTGCAGGTAAACAAGGGACGACGATGACACATGAAAAAAGCAGGCTGGCCATCCGGTACCATTGGCTCCTCAATGTCCCGGGCTTTTTAAATAATCCGTGAGCGTGGTGTCTCATGTTACCTTCTGCAGTGCTAGCCTGGCCGCCGAAGAGGTAGGTGGGACGCGGCAGGCCGTACTCCTACTGCTCGCAAAGCCTAGGTAGGTCCTTACGGCCACTAAGGCCCGTGTTTCAACTTTCAACGAGGGCTCTCAAGAAGGTGAATGGGTCCGATGCGAAGGAGCGCTAACTATATTTTCTTGCAGTGCTGAGATGCACTCCTTCGACAACGGAACGATCGAAACTGAAACTACGCTACTCCTCTTCATTGCCAACTGAGTCCCATAATGCAACGTGTTGCGTGCAGGGGTTTTCGAAAGTAGTCTATTAAATTTCATCCTCTTTAAAACGAAAACAAACATCGCACAGTTGCAAAAGTTGACGCACAGACAATGGGTCTGGTTAAAAAAATCCGTAACATATGCCAGAACATAGGGTGATTTATGTTGTCCCCATGGGTTTATATCTTAACTTGGCCTCTATGGGCGCAGCGGTAGAATGGCCTTCTTAATAGCGAAGCGCCACGCCTAAC